GGCCCCCCTCCTCTCCCTTTTCCGAGGCGAGCCCAAAGAAGCCGGTGCCGATTCCCAGCTGCGCCCCGATGCTTAAGGAAGGGTCCGGCCGGACACGCAGCCCGGCGCCGCCGCTCGCCCCTGCCCCTCAGCATCGCCCTCCACGGCATTGCTGTGTACATAAAATAACGTCCTTACTCTAGGCAGTGGTTTGAGTAATGTCTAAAGAGAGCAAATCCCCGTATCACTTCCCACAGGAACCACTAGGACCTCACTCCTTGGAAATTTTAAAAGTAGACTATGAAAAAAAAAAAAAAAACACCCAAACCCAACACACTGCAAAAAAGCTAGGACAGCTTCTCTTGCTCTTCTGCTCAGTTACCGTACATTTGCTTATTGTTTGGATTCTCCCCCTGAGGTTAGCTTTTGAATTGACTTCTTTGGGTAGAAAAGTGACCTAAGGTTAATGTTAAAACCATTTATTTTTAAATCCTTTGATGTAGTAGATGTAAATCAAAAGCTCTCACAACGGCATTCAGCTGACAGTGCCACTGTCAGCTGAATGCTGGAAATTTCATACTATGTTTGAGAGCACTGGGTTTCTAAAGGTGTACTTAATATGCTCATAAAATAAAAAAAAAAGCCAAAAGCCTCCTCAATAATCTTGGCAGCGAGGAAGCAGGTCAGTGGGAACACATTAGGGAAAAAAAAGAAAATCAATATTAATGATAGCTTTAATGGAGTTTATCGCTGATAACATTTTAAAAAGGATTTCTTCCGATAAACTTTTCCTCTTGAAGTTCAAAGTCGATTTTGATAAATTGTTGAGAGGTAAACAATTAAGGTAATACAGGCAATTAAAATTATTTAGCTGTTTTACCTATCCTGAGGTAACTGGAAGACACTCAAATCAGTAACAAAGGCAACTTGCTAGCCACAAACTGAAAGAAAAAAAAAAAAAGAAAGATTACTATCTGAAACAGCCATTCATCTAAAGATTAGCCCCTTCTCCTCAGAGCTTCACACACGCGCTGTAAGATACAGCTCATTCTCACAACCATCTTACGCCTATTTTAAGAGAGGCATCGTGCTAGTTTTCAAGAGATGTGGACACCGCTTGCGGTTGTCTCGATCTGCAGTTCATTGCCAGCCAAACCTACATTCCCCAGCCCAAATACCTGCACCTCCAGCTGCCCGTGCACATACGAGGAGCCTCCCTCACGCATGGCCGGAGCGAGGGAAGAGAATCTCCTGCCTTTCCACCTGATGAGCTTGGCATCTACTTCCTCCCTCCTGATTAAGCACATCCCTTGAGCAGAGACTTGGTTTTGAAATTATCCAGATAAACCACAAACTGGTTAGAAATCTATTCAGCTATACCAAGGGATTATTAAAACCCCACGGTTATGTCAGGCGTGGGACACTGAACTGAACCTGTGGAAGACTCATTTCTAACAACGCACCTGCACGGTTTTGGTTGCTGCTCCGTTGCCAGAGGTGAATAGCCCTTTGATGCCAAGTAAACGCACCAACCAGCAGTACAGAAGCCGGCCTTAGACTCGGGAGTCCCTCAAGTTATTCTGGAACAAGTATTCAAGAACTTTTTTTCCCCCCCATAATACTGCATTGTAACACTTAAGGACATTAACATGCAATCTATATATTTTAATGTGAGCTTTTTTTGCTTGTTCTCAGTGCTAACAGTAATCCGTGGTTGATCAAAGGAAAGAAAGTGAGACTCGTGTGGAAGGCCAAAGCTTTTCATTAAGTATACAGGAGTAAAGGGACTCAATTCGTTCTACTTCTTGCCTTCCGTGGCACCAAGTTCTCTGAAGTGTTGAATGTCTGATTTTTAACCCAGCTCTCAACACTGATGGACATACTCTGCTAACATATGGACTCACAACAACTGTTTATTCCCAGTGAAGTTCACCTAAGCACATGTTCAGAAGCAAGCATGCAAAACATCCATTTAAACTCGTACTCTGTAAGCCAACAAAGGTTAACAGCCATTTAAAATACACTCCATTTCACCAAAAACACCAGATCAGTCAAAACCTAGGAGACTACGGGTAAGATGAAATACTGATGGTTTCATGGTAAAAGAACAAGATATCCCAATTTAATTGTGCAGAATTTGCCAGTAAAGGATAACAAGCTTCATTTTCCCAGATGGAAGTCAAACCCGAACTTCCAGAAATGTTTCTTACATTAGTATTTTGAAAAAACACAGTCAACACAGTTAAGCACACTACGTTATCCTGCTGAGATTTCACTTTAAATATATATTTAAACCACTGCAATTATATTAAATGTTCCACAACCGCTACCTTTATTGAAGGTACCTTTATTCACTAAATACTATACAGGTGCTGCATCTGTTCCTCCTGGAATATCTGATATGCAGATGCCTCCTACTGTCAAACCTGGAATACTACAACTGGAAAAAAACATTGAACCTGATTACTTGAAAGTCTTTACATCTAAAATCCCTTTATTTCTCAGTGAATTTTCCCTTTTCCATGTTCAGAGTTGATACTGGTAACAGAAATGTTTGGTTGTTAAATACACTGGTGTCCTACATCAGGAGCTCCCTAACTTACGACTCAAGTAGTTGAAATTTTGTATGTGTAACCTTAATTAAGGAGTAATTGCGGCAAGAGTAATTAGTGTTCTTTTTAAACCCTGCGGCAAGTTAAACATTGTTTTGGGAAGCCACCATGAAAGACTAAAAAGCCCGTAATTTCACTAGTGTTCTCCTGTTAAATGAACCTGCAGACAGCAGCTTGACACCAACTCTTTAAGTTTCCAAGGGATGCTAAACCTACCCTGCGTGACAACCCTTAAACATCACCATTTCTTCCACTCCTGAGAAGTGGCTAAAACAGAAAAAGGGTTAAGAGGGAAACCTAAAGGAAGTATGAGCTGGTCCTTGCTAGACAGAAGAAAAATGAGGGGGGGGGGAAAATTGTCAAGGGTTGAGAAATAGATGACAGATGTGTTGCAATATGTGATTAATTAGACAGTAAGTGCTTGCTTCAAGTATTTTGCTGGCCATTACCATTCTCCCAGTAATTTCACTGGAACTGGCTGCTGACTGAACACTGAGGCACTGAACCTGCGGTCTGAGGGGAGAGCTCTCCTCTTACAAATTCCATTTCACGGATACCTGCATACACCTCATAGTAAACCAGATGTAAACAGACAGAAGATTTACCATAACTATCAACCTTACCATTCCCTGCAACCCATGGCAGTACCAAATGGAGAAACAATGTGCAACATTGAAGCTGCTCCAGCCTGGCTTTTTTAAAGTCCCTTGCACTTCAGAGTGCTGTCTTCTCAGTATTAGAAAGCACTTAAGCGCACGTCATAGAGCAAAGCCAGTCTGTCAGAGGGTTTAAATGACCCGATGTTTCTTAGATTTGATCACCTAGTGCCGAGTAAAACATGCTGTGAGTTCAGAACATGACTGCTTCTCATCAACTGCAGGGCAAGCCTAAGCTTGGGCAGATACTTGCAACACTTGAGCACATAGAAGCACAGCTCACAGCAGCCAAGTTCAGGAGCTAAGTCCCCTCCACAGCTGCAGACACAACCATTCCTGGCAACTCCATGCCCTTCAGTTCAGTACCTGTGAGAACAAGAGCTTTTCTGCCACACTCCCACACGCCTTGTGCACCCACTTCTAGCACACACCAACCAGAGCCAAATGTGGAAGAGCTGCTCTTTTGCTTGGTGTGCTCTGTCTTGTCCGCCTTTAATTTTCCTACAAAAGCTGAGACATGGGCCACATGTGGAAGACTACTAGGTCTGAGCAGAGGTCTAACAGGAAGGTTTAGAGCAATGAAACAAATCTTGTCCAACAAGCCACGTAGACAAACTTCCAACTCCTCTTGATAGTGTACAGAAGTAAGACTATTCCCAGTAGATGGATTTATGTTCACTTTTGGTAAGCATTAGCAATTAAAAGTCATTAAATTAAGGTGGTAGCAATGACTTCCCTGACCTGTACAACAAAGTCTTAGTTTGGAGGAGGCTGTATCTGCACAGAATGAAGGAGGAAGCACAGTAGAGCTAAGGCTATCTACTCCAACGTCTGTGCGGCTCTAGCCCCAACCTAACAGGCCATCAAGGATGTTACATATAGAAATGCACTCATTATCAGACTGTCCCCTTTGGACTGAGGAGTTTAGCGTTTTGTTTCCTTAAGGCACTGAGAATGCCACAACACAGCCCTCTTCCCCAACACAGGGCATCCAAGAAACAACTGCTGCACAGACACCTTTGGAAATGGGAAATGTCTGGCAGACAAATCCTCCATTTGTGGATAAGCTCCCTATCAACTTCTGAATCAGGACTACAACAACAGGCCTTAAAACACAGGGAAAGCTTAAGTACCAGCTTGAACACACTTGATTCCTGCAGTTTTCTACATTCTGCTGGGTTGGGTTTTTTTTCATTTAATAAGAAAGAACACATCAAAATTACACTACCTGCTACATAGCTTGGGAAACATCAATTCCAAGAATCCAACTAGAATCTGAGCTTATGAAGCTAGTTAGCTGTAGGAGACATCACTAAAAATTGTTGGTATGCCTAGTGTTTAAATAATCCAAGGAAACGTTTCTAACCACACCTGACAATTGTCCTTTTCCAGAAAGTAAAACGTAAGAATGCCAAGCTTAAATATTGTCTACTACTTTATTTCAGGATACTGTTTTAATTCTTTTTTTTCTTTACCATTAACAAAGTTATACCAGACAGGAAAACTCTTTAGGGCTAATGTAATCTAGCCTACATTTACTGAGAGTGCAGAGTTACCAAGATGCATCCCTCTCCAAGAAGCACAAGCTCTGAGTGCCCTTCCCTCTTATCTAAAGTCTGAGTTAATTCTCCCACCTTTTTCCTCACCAACGCTCCATTTTTCCCCAAGATAATTCTCCCTTCAATACAACAACCTAAACTGAACAGAAGACATCATTTACACAGGTCTTAAATTTTGGTGCAGTACCGCCACAACTGATCAAGAAATCCCATTTCAGTGACACTTTTTCCTGGCCTGAACTCGTTAACAAGGTAACTTATCTTCCTCAAATACTAAACAGTTTATCTACAGCTGGTATAAATCCATGAGAAGTGAAAAGAATGAGTCACAATACTCCAGTCAGTGTTGCAAGTTTAATGTTCCTGCTACGTACTGCCTTTCAGAATTGCTAAGCAAAAGTGTCATCGATCACAAAACTACATTAAGCACCAAACCAGTTTTTATTTAACTGATGCCATAAGAACTGGCACCTCAATTTGTATGATTATATCCTTCCTTTTGCTGCAGTCTGGAGAGCACAAGAACTGCTGATTTAGAACTAGCAAGTCAATTTAGAGAGAAGCTTACCAAAATTTGGCAACAGAGATGGATTCATGGCTCTGAATCTTGCAGGCTGCAGGTGAACTTTGATATCTACCAACTCCTTTTCAAATATTGTATCCCGTTGTGTGATAGGAAGATATTTAATGAGAAAGCAATCAAAACACAAGCCAAATTTCTCAAGAACAGTAACTTCTGAAATGCATCGGACAACTTTTAACAGTGCTTTCTCTTTTTAAGATACAGTTGCCAGATGCTGTTAGTAAAAATGGGCTAGATCTAAATAAGGACTTCAGATACTTCTCATGTCCAAAAGTATGAACCCCAAAGCCCAGTATTAATGATTGCTCAACCTCATAACACACCATCAGTTTGGTCTCCGCATGCCCTGAAGTTTTAAGTTTAAACTTAATCTTGGGAGACGTTCAGAGAAGAGACCAAGTGATAGCCAAACACCCGGCAGGGTCAATGCCTCGAAGGATAAGCATATTCTGCCAGGATTTACTGCATCACAAGAACACAACCACATCTACTTTAACACACAGCTACCAGAGAGTGTGATGTTAACCTTCCACTACTGTATTTTTGTACGCTATGATTTATGGGTTACCCCTAAAAGCACAGCTTCAACAGTACTATTTTATATACAGCTACAGATAAAAAGAGCTCCTTCTCCCAAATCCATAAATATCCAGAGAGGAGAAAGATGAAGCCTGACAGGGATTCTGAAATGAAGCAGTGTGGTATTTAAGCTTCAAGGCATTAAAAAAAAAAAATCAGTTTAGTCAGAGCACACTAGAGCTTCTTCCTCTCAGGGGGGCTGAGGATTCAGCAGGGCCCTTTGGGATAAGCTTCATTCTGTATTACTTACCCTCCAAGCAAGAGACATGCTAGAGAAACTTCCACCAGCCCCATCCTCATGTGGCTGTTGCCTCTTACTTTTAACCCTTTATGGCTAAGTCATATCAGTGGCAAGGAAAAAAAAGGCAAAAAAAAAAAGAGTAGCTACTGCAGAAATAGATCCATGACTAGGCTGGACATTTCTTTCCAACCCTACGAGGACCTTTCCATCCCTCAAAAAGCGATCTGGGTACTTGATTAGAAGATCAGAACTTCTATAGTTATGTGAAGGACAGGACTGCACAGAGTACAGTAAAATCTTACTGACTGGGAAAACTCAAGCGGCAGACATCAGTTCATGGTTTCTTCAAGCTGAGCACATTCATCTCAAGAGCACCTCCACTGCTAGACTAGAGGGAAGGTTAGTGTGGGAAAGATCTCCTAGCCTATATGTTTCAACTGACAATTAACATTCAATACAGACAAAGTATGAACCCGAACATGCAAACTAAGCATAGTGAACAGAACATTAGGTGAGGAGAGAGGAATTCCTTTGGGTTTGTATCCTGCTCTGCAGATGCTCGATACAGCGTGCACAAACTAGAATACAGCTGGGTCTTCTAGCACTCCCTTAGGCTGCAGGGCAGATTTTGTTCAGGACAACCTAACTCTGTCTACACAGACTGGAAATCCAAGGCACCTTTCTTGGTTCCAGATTTCATACTAATAACCAATGCCTTAGAGTCAGGCATGGCAACACCGAAGTCCTTTATCAGATCTAGCCCCACTTCTAAAAACTTGTCTTCTCCAAAACAGCAATGTTGACCAATCACTGAAACATCTAGCTCAGATCCACAAATATCACACTGCAAATGGAAAGCATAGATCAAACTTCCCAAGCTATTGTGTTTGTTTTTAAAATGCTATATGATTTACTCCTCAGTAACTCTCAACTTTTTTATCTAGTAAAAAGTGAACTGCAGCATGAAAGATATGCCTTACCAGTTTACACATGCAGATACACACATCATAATAAAACAAGACTAGCTTCTGAAAATACTAGGTTTTATTCACACCCCAGTGGTAAACAATAACCTTAATATGATGACTAGGTTTCTTCTGTAGATCACTATGTCACATAAAATACAAAACCCATAGCATAAACAAGCTGACAGTTATGAATGTTTAATGTGGTCTCGTTGGAAATTAAACAAGTTATACTAGTCTTCTCAAGTAGTCAAATTCAAAATGCGTCATCATCTCCTAGTTAGTACAAGTCACTGCCATTTCTATAACAAAGTAATGAAGGCACAGCTAGTGCAAGCAGACTTAAACCCGTTCAGACTACTGGGCTGAAAAATACTTTGGTTGGTTCTTCAGGAGAGAGTTTTCTCTAAACAAATATTGGTCTCAAATAACAGTTCTGATAATCTTTACAGCTGCAGTCTAATAGCTACATGACAAAGACTTCACAAGAACCAAACTATGTAGCAATGAATTAACATTCATGCTTTAGGGGATTTACTGCATTCTACATATTGGCAGAAAATTATACTGTTAAAATGCTAGGTAGATTGAACCTACATTTTAAACTGGTTCTTATGTGTTTGATTTCTTTTTTTAACAAATTGGTTACTTAATTCTACCAAGATACAAAACATAAGGCTGTAAGTAACTAATAGTTGTGTTTAGGCTATTACAGTGCAGGTAATCCTCAAGGCCACGTACACACTGCTTCACTGCTGCTTGCATTCTGCTGGGTTTTGATCCTTCTGTTGAGAGAAAAGGAAATACCAGTTTACAGATACCTGTGTTTTGAAAGAACTATTAATATTGCTAAGCATACTTTCTCAAGTTCTAGTATTCAAGTTCTTTTTTCACCTTTTCCCTTAAACTAATTGCTTAGTATTAGTAATACTGCTGCCTTTGGATGTGGCAACATCCACAATGCATTTATTTTGGCTTTGTTAGTGCACAGGTATACGATCAGGAACAAAAATCTGTTTGGAACTAAGTGTGGTGGGATACTCTGAAAGACACTGAAAGTGGAAGAAGCATCCAGGCCTTCTACACAGCTTGAGACAAAAGAAACTTCCTGTGGTCGGTAACAAGGGCACAGCCTTACTGCAGAAGCCACTGTAGAGCAGTGCAATGAAACATCAAATCATGGTACGTTCTTAACACTTTGCAAACATCTTTTGCAATAAATACCAGTTGTTAGAAAATTCTAACGTGGAAAATTTATTTTGCTACATTGAAACAGACAGCCAACAATATCTCACAGTGAACTGGGGACCTAAGGAAAAAGCTTTTTGAGGACAGAGTTCAGTTGCAAGTTTTACTCCACTACCTTGGGATAGATAGCTATTCTAGGCCCACAGTGCTTTAATACATTCAGCTGGCTTTCAGCCTGTGATCAGCTTACAACTATTTATTCTTGTGTCAACACACTATAGTACCACTACTGTCTCTAGCCCTTTGGCAGTCCCCTCTGAAACAGAGCCTACAGTCTTGCCTTTTCAGTTACGTTTAGCCCAGAAAAGCAATCTGAAATGGTGGAAACAAGAAGCCCATCTTGTAGCTGTTTCATTTTGATTCCAAAACTTCCTTGAGTAGGAAGCAATTTGAACACACTATAGCAGATGAAACATCACTGACAGGTTGTACAATTTGCTTAACAGTTCTATACCCTACATCTTTCTAGGTACAACGTTCAGATTATGTAATTCTTTCAATAGCACTTTGATTGTAGGTCAAACCATTCAAAAAAAAAAAATATACCACTGCCTCATTTGAAATTGCAAGCACATTTCCCAGCAGACATTCTTAGTTCACAGAGACTTCATTTTTATGACTGCAACTTTCACCTACCACCACCTGACTGTTTCAGGTGGCCAAAGGTGCCTTTCCCTCAGCCAGGAAAAAGCTATGAATTGCGTGGCTCACAATCACTGTTACAGCAAACTGAGCCTGACTAGTCATTTGCCCTTTCCATGGAAGAAGAAAGCTGCCACAGTTGCTCTTGGTTGTTCACATTTCAGTACTTGGCTGTAAGTGCATTCCTGAACTTTGACTTCTGCTACCTCAAGCAGACTTGCTATTATCTACCCTGAAAAAGCCTCAGGTTCCTGAACCTTGACTTCTGCTACCTCAAGCAATAAGACTTGCTATTATCTACCCTGAAAAAGCCTCAGTTTTGTACTCTGCTGGGAAAATCTGTGCCAGAGTCAGCTTGTGAACCTGGATTCAAAAACTGAACCTGGATTACTCCATTCTCTGCACGTCCTTACAACCATTATAAACGTTTTCATCATTAGCAGTAACTTGCTGCACAACTAGTTTATAAAAAACCAAGCCTGACTAAATTCAGTGCTCAAAGACAAAAGTTACTTTTACAAAATGATTCTTTGAGAAAGACCTTTTTTTTAAAGTTGCTCTATCAATATTAGTCTGTCAGAACTGGGACTGAAACAGCCTCCAACAAAACATACTCACCATAGGAACTACTGATTAAATACTTAAACTAAAAATCAAGATTTAACCTACATAAAATTTTAAGTGTGTGTATGCATACGCAAACTTCAAACATTCTTTTTAATTCCTTACTTTTGGATCGTAATCAGGATCATTTTCTTCATCTGCTTCTTCTTCCCCTTCCTGAAAGAAAACACTTGTTTATATTTCTCTAGCTTATCCACATTCAGCTTCTTGAGCCATTTTCAAGAAAACTAAGATTACATTCTAATCTTAAAATACATTAATTACCACTTTAAGCTATGCATACAGTATAAGTTTGCCCTCCACAAAGCACATCATCTTTTAACATCAGTTGCAACTGAATTTGTAAGATACCTTAAGGTTGTCTTTGTTTGGTTTGGGTTTTTTTTTGTAGGTTTGTGATTTCTTTTTTAAGATATTCACCCCAGATCCACAAAACAATGTGTTGTATCTTCCATTCATAAGTAATACTTAAACTTAGTGTCCAGAGCACTCAAAACCTTAAGAAACGCATTTCAGATAACAAAAGGGAAACAGTTTAAATCAAGGCCGTCTGTCAACTTACCTCATCATCTGCCTCTTCACCTTCTTCGTCATACTAGGAGAGAAAATAAATGAGTTTGATAGTGTCATAAATGCAGCCATTTATGGCTTAAGTACAGCCAGATAACTCTAGTAGATGCCAGAGACCACATTGTACTGTGCTCTAAGAGAACTTCCTATATCTAACAGATTTAAAAATGCTTTATGCATCAGCACAAACAGTGCTCAATCTCTTAAGCTACAGTCTGGCAGAGAAAACTGTCTACCTGAAGTTCCTTATGTGCAACACTGGAAGAGCTTATTAGACTGTGGTACCACTTCTGGCCAGTAGGGTGTCTCAAAGCCTAAGGAAATCTGTACAGTCACAGTTCCACCTCCCCCAGCCAAGGCTTTGGACTACAGGCTACCATTTTACAGTCTAAAAATTAATTTTAAGGCTGGACTTATCTTAGCCAAATCAAACTGTCTTTGTGTGGAGGCAGGGGAGAGAAAGTATTTTATCCATATAAAGTTCTGGGGTTTTGTTTGCTTTTCAAGCTTAGCACTTAACTCAAGTTTTTGCAGAGCTTGCTTTGAGTATCTTGGCATGCTTTGAATGTGCTTATCTATCATCTTCTATGAAGAGTGCCCTCCTGAAAGGAGCAGGCTTGAATCTCAAGGAACCTGGTAGCCCAGTATCACACTGTAAGCACAATGGGTGAGCAGCTAGATAAGTAGACTAATTTGTTCTCTGGCTCATTGTAGTTCCACTGAAGTATCCAGTATGCCAACCTAGGAATGCCTATACACAAAGTTCAACTCAGACATCCTCTAAATGTTCAGCTTCTACCGCTACTTTTGCCGCAAATCACTGAACTTACTACTTCAAAGATGAATTACCTCCATGCTGCTCTTCACTGAACACTCTAGAAAGCTCAGCTGAAACCAATGTTGATACATACCATTCTAAGGATACCAACATTATACAAGTCAGAAATTACCCAGTCTTTAAGCCACATTATTTCAAAGTTTAGCATTTTGAAAGCATATTATACTTACATCATCATCATCATCTTCAATAGCTTCTCCTGTGAAGTATAACACTGATCGGGGGACTATACGTTCACGCAAGAAATGACCTATTTCAAAGTCTGCAGCAAGGATTGCCTCTGCATCATCATCCTGCATAAAACAACATCATTTTCTAAACCATAAGCTGTTAACTACTTTTTACACAAAAACACAAGTTGCATAGTTTTTGATGTGGTCAGATTTATACAAATCCCATGTGCTGACTTTTTTTTTGATTCAGGACTAGCTTTACAGAATTGAAATTGTGGAGTCAGGTTTTACACTTTAAACAGCCTACCCGCATTATGCAGTGAAGGGGTTGCTTCTTCAGTAAGCTTAGTTATACAAAATTCTGGAGTTTAAGTTTTATTCTTCCCCCATCCCCAACTTGCTTTTGTTTTAAGTAGAAAAATTGTTTAATACCTCCCATAGACTTTCAGTTCATACACACAATACCCTTAAGAGCTAAACACTAGCCAGGTGAGCCTATCCAATTAAATACTACAAGCTGCTCCTGAGTTCTCCAGTGCATCGCCTCCATGATTCCCATTAAGCAAGCCATCGTGAAGCACCTGAACACCTAAAAATACTCTCTGATCCAATCCCAGGTTTTCACTCCTTTTGTTTACACACCAAGTGGTCTGCTGTCTCCCATTTGAGAAGTCATCTTCAATTCAAAATCTTGATTTTTTTTTTTTAAGATTATGAACATACAGCTTTAGTGTCGATGCCAACAGCATGCTTCTGGAGGCTTTCATCAGATTTCTCACCCAAGCTGCATGACATATTCAGCACTGTTAAGTGTTTTTGGTAGTTTTCCTCCTTACAAAAACATGGCTTATTGCCATGCAATTTTCTACTAGTGAGCATACAGAAGAGTGGGCTTTTGCAGTTTTCTGTTCGTGTTAAAGTTTACTAAATTGAACTCTACCATCCAACTCAACAAATACTTCTAAAAAAGAAAACTCAAATACATGCCATGCATCACAAGTACCCTCAGTTAAATACAGAAGCAATTAAAGCTGAAGCTGTTTAACAAATTCCCAAGCAATTTCAACGCACACTTTGTATACAAAGGCATGAATCCTATTGGTGTTTCCCCTCCACCCCTTTATTTTAAATAAGCCAACTTACCAGGTCTCCACTTTCAGGAACTGTAGAAAAAAAAAAGAGAGAAGAAACAAGTGAGTGGAGTACATACTATACATACTACATTTAAAGTTAATGCAGATAAACTAATGTTCAGTTTACCTTCAGGAGGACTAAAGAAGTTGAAGAAAGAGTCGTTAGAAACAGTTTTTGTCACTGTTCTAACTGTTCCGCGACCCTTATGTTTCTGCTTCTTCTTAATGGTTTTCAAAGTAACATTCTTTCCTTTTTTCCAGTCTATTTGGCAACTGGAGAAGAAAAGAAAAGAAAAAAAAAAACACCTGAAGCTTAACACCGTTCTCTTTGTTACAGGTACCTAATGAGACAACTGCAAGGGATACTACCTTAATATTTTATATTCACTGTATTTATGCAGTGCTATCTTTTCATTAGCTTATACTTTTGAGAACAAAACAACAGGTTTATTTTAGGATTGAAGTTTTTTCATCCAAAAGTTTCTCAATCGCTGAAATACTAATTTTCACCTGCTACTAAGTTCTACCTACTTTTCTATCAAAGAACAGTGTTACATTATTTTTAGTGCTACCTATCCATTATAAAGTAATGTCATATTTGGTCATGCTAGTAGTATGCCAAGGTTTACCACACCTATCATTGCAGTCAGTAAGCCCTTAAAATAATGCATCAAGCAAGTGTGTAGTTTTTGGTTGGATTCTAGTTGTTTGTTTGTGGGTCTTTTGCATTTTGGGTTTCTGGGGTTTTAACTCTGTCCTCCTAGATCATGCCCACAGGCTTGTCCGACACTCCCACAGAATTCTGGAGACATGTAAATGAAGAAGCCACATTGATGTTGTCTTATTGATAAGACCATCCACATGTGCAGACATTTCAGATCAGATTCCTTTAAAGACTCAAAGGAAGGAGGCAAGTTGTTCTGGGATAAGAAGGGGCTGTCTTAGTTAAAACGCAGAACAAGGGCTAAGAATGAATAATTTTCACCAAAGCAGAGTGTCATCGTACAGCGACCTCTACCAGGATTTATGCTTTTCAAAAACAGTCCAAACTGAGGAAGACAAAACAATTTGATCAAAACAACTCAAACACTTTAGACTAGATCTTACAGGACATTTGCAGAAATATATTACATTAAGCGCCTGGGAAATGAAGTGGTAAATAAAAGTCAGCATCAGTAACTGCAGATTAATATATGGGTAAAAACAACCCTGACTATGCAGTTGTAGGCTCTAAATTAGTTATTATCACTCAGAAGATCAGTCAGAACATTAGACATTAACACAAAAGCAATGGAACAGGCTGTGATGCATAGAGCCCTGATGTACCCGTAAGGCTGATTATGTACAACTCTGGTTTCTCTCATCCTTCTGTTCACAAGAAAAGGGACATGTACAGAATAAAAAGATTATTTAGTGAGAGGAGTAACAGCTAATTTAGAACTAAAATCATGAGGAACCTGGAGTTAACAGGAGATGACTCCGCTCCATTTCTCAAATAGATCAACTGAAAGACACTCACAGGCAAATATTCAACACTTTTAAAACAAACTGGACAACTGCAGCGTAGAAAATAAAACTGGAACAGACATCCCAAAATGCTGCATGTCAGAAATGTAAAGAGAATAAAAGAAGTGCTCCAACGAGCTTTGGAAAAAGAAACCAAAAACTATCAAGGCCTACAAAAAGATAACATCATCCACCTTCCAATTCAGCTTTGGCGACTGCAGAACAGTATTTCTAGATAAATACTGATTAGATTTTTATTTATATGCATACGTTATATAATATATATACTTATAAATTATATAAAATATAGTTTTATATGTTGTATTAAAATTACTGAAAACCACTAAAAATCTCAAGTCAAACCTAGCTGTTTACAAGTTATTAAGTAGCAATATCTTTTCTAGCACCTTCCCAAGATGCTCTAAGTCTACAGTTGGATAATGCTAAGGAAGAAACTGTTATAATGCCTTAAAAGTTATTTATTAGCACTTACCCTGTACAACCCATGATTTCCGGTCCATCAAAGGAGAAGGGATCAGAATCATCTGGCTCTGACCTCATTCTATATGTCTTTGTCAATACTTCATTTGTGAAGTAGTCATTTGGTTCAAAATGAAATTCTAATGTGAAACTCTTAAAAAGAATTGCAGAACGACTTTAGCAATTTAGCAACACATATCTTTAACATCTAAATACCTAAAATGCAAAATCAAAAATACACATGCAACAGAATATATCCATCCCCTCCAAAACTGAAATGGTGCACATACATAACTTATTCTAGAATTTTCTGCCCAAGTTGTACAATACATCTTCAAATGTTTTCATTCACCGTGTTGATCCTGTGCTTATTAGTTAATTTACTGCTTGCAGAAATAGCACAAGATCTTCCACTGTACAGCTTTCTTGGTGTTAACATATAGAGAGAACTTCTAAATTTAAAATATTAAAACTTAGCAAGCTATCTGATTTCTGGCAAGGAAATTGTATCCAATTATAACAGTTACACAAGTAATACCTGAAGGTATCAAAATTTAAAGGTGAAACTTAGTCATCAGATATTAAGGCCAAGTTATTAACTCATCAGAATTTGAAGGTTAAATTAAGTATAATTTCATCCATATGGTACTGCAAGACTAGTACTAGTCCTTGTACTGTTCTTCAGAAGACAAGAAGCAGCTGCCTATTTCTCATGATTGCCATAAAACAATTGGCCATCAGAGACAATGCTACTAATATACAAATAAGTCTTAAGATAACACAAAAGTAATCTTGTTTAATAGGTTAAACTAACCATAGGCTGTCCAACTTCTGAAAATTTCACTTTTATATCTTTTAGGTGTTTCAGGATAGGTTCATCATGTTCCTGTAAAGAAAACACAGCTTTCTCAATTTCTCATAACATTAAACTGACCATAGACTTAAGACCCTGCAGAGATAAAGCCATACTTAGCATGAGTTTTACATATGACAAGAACCTTGTTACAGCACAGAAACATTTTCTTGAACATGACCAGCAGATGGCAACAATGGCCTTACAGAGTTTCCATTGCAGTACACAACCTAAATCCATGCTAACACAAAGTAGTTTTTAGCAATGTCTAATACACAACTCACACACACACTCCTATAAACATAGAAAGTGTAATAAGGTAAAATAAGTTCAACAAACACCACAGTAAGAAGGTACTTCAGACCACTCAGTGCTCTCAGTTGAATAAAGTACCAGCAATGACATTCAAACACTTGTTCCATTTTCACTCTCCAACAGACACATCAATGTACTGTTTCTACTCCTTTCTTAAAAAAGACAATTGGATTAGGTACCGACAACTTCAGACAAGCCTGGACCACCACCTACCTGAACCATATCACTGAGCAAGTCCACGTTCTTGAATACTGTCAGCCAAAACTCAGGAATTCCTTTAGGGTCTTCTTTTTCTTCATCCTTTTTTTCTTCTTCAAGCTTGGCTTTCTCTTTCATTTCCTCCTTGATAGAATAAAAATGTTAGTTTTTCTTAATTTTAAAAGAGTGCCCATAAGGTTTACTAACAGTTTAATGTTGATACCAGTACAGATTAGAGTTCATGTGCATGCTTTAAGCAATCATTATGAATTATTATTATAAGCAAGCAATCATTATGCACCCAAATATTTTTTTAACTTTAGTTACTGTACTGAATTTTGTTTCATGCTAAAGCTTGAGATATTGATGAAGACAGATTATGATACTCACTGAAATTTCTTCTTCAACATCTGCTTTCCATTCACATTCTTCCTCTGTAGGTTCATAAATTGCATTGATGATTTCACTTCGCTGGAAGATTAAACCAAGAATATTTTCACATTTGCTAGTCACTGCAACCGGCAATATCCTAACCAATAGATTCCTAATCCTGAAGTCACACAATTAGTAATACATCAACTATTTATCAAAGCTTTTTCTTCTGGCCCTAGAAGACAACTCAGCAGTTACGAGCTTTTTAACACACTAAAATAAGCACCGAAGTTCCAGAAAGGTTACCGTATCATCTGACATCTGCTCAATTAACAAGATGAGGCCTGGTATATTGAAGTGAATTTGGTAACCATGGAACAGACTGGACCTTTCTCCCCCTTGATCTTAGTTGATATCCACATGGATGGTAAAGTGGCATCAATTGAATTGAATGGGCACATAAGAGACCGAAATAATTCAGAACATGCAGAAGCTTTCAGTTTATATTCCCTTGTTTTAGCTAAAGCTTTTAAGTACAAATCAGATTAGCATTAAAATACCTTGTCAAATAAGGGCTGATAGAGAGCAGCATACTTTCTTTCCAGCTCATGAACTTCCTCATAGAACTTTGCTTCTATCTGTGCACACTGAACTTGAAGGTTCTTGAGAGCATTCACACGTCTTTTAACAACTTTAGGCAAGCTGAAAAATTCAGTGACAAAACTGTTACTAACACTGCATGCTGAGCACATGTTGACCCCTCCTTAACCATCCGCCTTAATAATCAACTTGCATCAAAACAGATTTTACACTCTACATTAAGCTTTAGAAAGCTGAACAAATCAAAACTATGACCCACTGTACCATGCAGATTGAAACTGTTAGCGCAGGCTCTTAAACTGAGGCTTACCCTGAATTAGAACCAGAGTATTCCAAATACCTGGATCAATCATGAGACAAACTTCTGCAATAAAACTTCATACTAAAAGCAAGTTTTACATTACCAATGAACAGCATGGTAAATTCATAAGACTGAGCAGAATTAAGAAAGGTCTAATCACTAACTGGCTTGGTTTTATGAAAGAAAGTTCAAGACAACTGAATTATTACTTTGCTAGGGAAGCTAGTCTTTAAAACCTACATTTTTGTTTCACTCAGGAAAGCAGCTAGTACTACTGCCTTCCAACGTATTAACTGTCACTCCCAAAATGAGCCAGAACTGTTTTGCTAAATGAGCCACTTACTATACATGTATAAAAGGAAAGCAATTAATGTGATCCTCATTATAAATACTCGTCAGCTACAACTCTTTAATAGTGGTTTTACTTTAGTAGTATACACTAACAGACCCACTGTTAGGACAGAAAGTCACCTACGTCAAGGTTACTGGTGAGATTTATGGGGTAGATTGCCGACAGCTTCCGTTGCCTGTGAGGTGGGCCAAACCCCAGCATATGGCTACAGAATATTACTGTGTTAGCTTCCCATATTTATTTTATTTCAGCAGTTGGGCCACATTATTTAGAACACAGTAGCAAACAACTGCTTTTAATTGTTAGGACCAGCTTCAGGTTAGAGGAAGTAACCAAGAATATGTTAGCTTAATTAAACACTGAAAGTTTGCATTAATTACAGCTATCTTACCTCTATTAGGTAGGATAAGGACATGTTTCAACATCCTTATTCACTTTAAATTGCAGAACTTTCTCCCTGATGGCTTTATGCTCAACATGAATATACTATTTTTGGTTGCTAAGATAATGTGCAGACCACCAAGAAATCAAGATTTCCCTTAAACCTTCCAGTTTGGGAAAAAGTACATCTGCTACACGAACTACCGAAAAAGCTTAAATTCAATCATGTATGTTCATAAAGGGTTGATAACATTCTTGTTACTCTGACATTCTTCCAGAAGTTAGTCAAGTTAATCATTTGCTGTAATTTTATCTACAAGTACAATATCAGACCTAACAACAACTTAAATAGCAAGTTCATTTAGTTCAGGAAAAAAAAAAATGTTAAGGCAGAGAATTAATACGACTGCATGGGTAAGTCATACAACAATCACCCACTTAATGCCACATGCATATATTTAGAGTAAGAGTACTGGTCCTAGCAATTGCATATAAAAAAGCTATGAAATTTCTAAGAGGTAGATCCATACATGCAGCATGTCCAACTCCAGTATGTCAGAGTGAAGATTTTAATCCCTTTATTAAAGAATCTAGAATTTTTTTGCATGTGTCAAAGCCATATTTTGCTACAGTCCATACCAACTAGTTCAGATTTCACAATTTGTATATCTACTATCTTTATAAAGTCTGTACTTTAAAAAAAAAGGCAGTTCCCTGAAAAAGACTTTTTACTTTTACAAAGTAAACCCAAATTGGAGAAGGAGACCAAGAAGCATGAACTGGACTGCACAAGTACAACAGCAGCAAGTAAAACCTGTTGCTCTGAATACAAGCCACTAGCACACGTTATAATTACACAAGAATACAACCTCCTGCGAGCAGCTGAGGGAAATTCTGCTCCATGAAAGTAAGTTTCATTAAAATTATTGTGGCCAGGCACAGGTGAAGAGGTAGCTGTCAGGCAATTAGGAGATTCTAAGCCTGAACAGACAGATGTTTTCCTGGAACCTGTTTAGTTTCCTATAAGCTTACGCATCTAGTTCCTTAACAGCCCACGTAACAGGCTTTTAGGTTACCAGATTCCTGATGACTTCTGTGCCATCTCAGTGTCTAGACTCTGTAGATAAATATGCTCAAAATAATACTTGGGAAGACATGTAAGAGGCACCTGTAAAGCACTGTTAAGTCAGCATGCATATGTTGAGAAGTGCAGACAAGTTACACACATTTCACAGCTATTTTCTGTACTGCACCTTAGGTAAGCATTTGGTAACAACAGCGAAGTTGCAATGCTTTTGTGACAGAGAATGTGCTATTGTACTTGGAATTGCTGAAGAAATGGTACAGTATTTTAGAGAGCAGCTGACTAGAAGAATGCCATGTAAATCAATGTTACCACTTTGTTCACTTCAAGGACCTGAAAGATTAGTAGAGGTTAATCAACATCTTTTGAAAAACAGAAGAAAAATATTTGGTATAGAAAGCCTGCAGTGTACAGTATCTAGAAGAGAAAGAACTTGGATACCCTTTGACTCCATGCTCTTCTTGGGCCAGTATTTATTAGGGAAGGCTGTTAGTTAAATGGGCTTTTCTTCCATGCTATCATCTATAAGAGCAAAGTGGTATGAGTATGAATAGCAACAGCAGCAATGCCTGTTACTCAGCAGCTGTCAAGAGCAACGTAGGACCCTATCACAGCAAGACAGTTGTGTGCTCTACAATTCCTGTGGATGTGGTGAAACGTTCGTACACAATCAGAAATTACCTGAGACAAAAAATTCTCTCTGTTAAATGCAGCTCAAGTAAATTTTAGCAAGAGACTGTTGCAAGTTTTGATACATAAGGAGACCCCATGAATTAGTGGTACAACGTTCCTAAGTTTATTAGGTCCTGGTTACACTCTAACAAAAAAATAACTATATGAGACACACTAGGTTTCCAAGTATTTGTCCACACTTAAGATAACTGGTATCTCATTATTAAGGCAAAGCAACAAAATGTATTCCAAGTAGCAGAAAAGTATCTTTTAAAAGGTGTGCCATATTATAACTGCAGGGGACAGGGTCATCCACTGTTACAGCATTACACTGTTACATATTTTAGCATTGTTCTCTTCATAAAAGCCCAAATTACAACTCTTCAATTCTGAGATGCACTACAGGGACTGTATCAGTTTTCCTGCTGTCTGGGCAGCACAGTGGTTTATGACTATTAATCCTACAGCCAACACTGTTCAGAAAGCAAAAGAACCATTTATACCACTTTGCTCATGCTGAACAAATACTATACCTTTCTATGTAGCCTGTAGATGTTCCTACCAGACCATCAAGTCTTTCCTGAAGGGCTGCAAGAATCTGAGGATTTTGCATCATCTGCACAGTCAGCTGCCGAGCTAAATTAAAAAAAAAAAAAGTAAGTGCCAAGCACATCTTTTGGACTAATCTTGTGTCGTGGTTTAACCCAGCTGGCAACTAAGCACCACGCAGCCGCTCGTTCACCCACCCCCACCCACCACCCGCCGACCGATGCCCAGCCCGTCCTGAGCAGCGATCACTCCCCCCGAGCCGCGAGCAGTCTCCCCGCGACCGACCGACCGACTAACTCCCCCTGAGCATGACGTTATATGGTATGGAATAGCTCTTTGGTCAGTTTGGGTTAGCTGTCCTAGCTGGGCTGTACTCCCAGCTTGGTATGCACCTGGGCAAGCAGGAGAAGCTCAAAAAAGTCCTTGAGTAGCCTGAGCACTACTTGGCAACAGCTGAAAACATCAGTGTGTTATCAACATTTTTCTGGTACTAAATCCAAAACACAGCACTATGCTAGCTACTATGAAGAAAATTAACTCTATCCCAGCTGAAACCAGGACATCTTGAAAGAAAAGTTACTTAAATACTGCCGAAGAGCAGTAAGTTTACTATATATACACTCATAAAGAGAAACATAGGCAAAGAAGTATTTCAAACACCTCTGAATTTTGGAAGCATGGATCAAATCCATCTTATTCTGAACACAGAAGCAGCACTTGGATTAAGATGGTCATTATTCAGCAAGCTGAACTTTTTTGTTAGAAGGAAAGGTTTTATATGATGCCCTTAAAAGCATCAGTTTTGCCTTGACTGATTTTATTTTGAATTCATTAAGGAAAGGCGATGTAGAAGAATTTGTGTTTTTACTTTAAGAAGGGAATAAAAACTAGAACTGGGATTTTCATTCCATTTTAGGTAAATGGAAAGAAACAAGACAGTTTCAGTCTTGGATTTAAAACTGATTTACAAATATATGTTTACCTAATTTTTCCTGCAAAAGAGTAAGTTATTAATCAGAATAGTCTGACACATTACTGATTACAGAATAACAGTACTAGAACCTTGAAGTCTACCATCATCTTTAGAAAGCACTTTGTCCAAATGGGAAACCTGTTTCAAACTACAAGGTAGAAGTACATTAGAAAACCCACACAAATTCCTAGCCTAAGTGTTCTCATTACCCATGTTAACATCAACCCTTTTACTTCTGCTCAAAACCTGTGCTTGAGCCTGCAGAAATGAATTTCACAATTTCACATTTTCTATAAGAATTTACGATCATTTTTTATCATGCTGTTTTGCCTTCTTCCCCCATCCTCAACATACACAGATCGGCAAACAAGTACTTTGCATTCCTTATAGGATACTAGGTATATAATTTGAAGGCATCAGAAGAATGCTGGAGAGTGAAGCTTTTGAATCCTTTCTGACATACAGAGCTTTTGGAAAGAGCATACCATTTTCCCGTTCTATGCCCTTCACTACAGTAGCCACGTGTGAATGTTCTCTTCCACTTTTATGTTCTAGCACTGAAATTACATGCTGAAAAGTTTTGTTTCAAGCAACATCCAAAAAAGCAGTCTTGTTCCTCCACAAAGATTGCAATCGGTTTATATTTTAGCAGTAGTAGCTGTAATTATTTATTAAAGGTACTACCTCACATTAGTCAACACTACTCCTGTCAAGGTATCTAGTTTGCTCTGGTCTTACTATTCATTAGTCTTTCCTATACAGTTGAAAACCTACTCAACTGTGCTATTTGATTATGTTGCCAGTTATTCTTTAATACGAAATCAGTATACACATCATACACATGGTAGGCCAATGCCAACAGCCTCATCCCCTCAAACTGAAATCTGACCACATACCCTGTTTTGCAAGTTCTTGGATCCATGAACACTGTTTCTTCAAAGAGTTTTTTCCTAAAAGCTGAGTGCTTTACTTAGTGTCCACAGAAGGACCTTTGACATACATAAAAATAGAATTATCTTGAGTAAAAAAAAGTAAATCAGGAAAATGTAAGGAAAAATTGTGTATTAAAAAATACTAGAAAACTAGACAAGCAAGAATTACAGATGCAAAAGAATTGCTTAACACTGTGACAAGCTTCCCTACTCCTGAAACATGTTTCAGATTTATAAAATCCAATTTCCCTCCAAGATTCCTACAGTATGATTTCCGCTCAGATCCTCAACTACAATAACTGGGATTACTCACTAAAAATACACACGATACATCTCTAGGTTCCTTTGGGACACCTGAATACTTACCATTGAATTATTGTAAGCCGTTCTACAGCTGACCAGCCATGTTCCACATGCAATCCAGTTTTGAAAACACTTTTTTCAATAGGTATAGCAAAGCCTCTAACAATCTTGAGCAAAGTTATCCTGCTTTTCTTTAGTGTAATTATTCTGTTCAAGCAATCACATAATGTGGCACTATCAGCAGTCCAAATAATTTTGTTGCAGATATTATTAGTTATTTCTCTTTTGGCTACTTGCTCTTCAGATTCTGTCTGTGCCCCCAACCTTTAACTACAAAGCATGAGTAAGACTGCTCAGCACAGACAAAACGAGTATTCTGATCCATGCTCATTTTTTTGTTGAGGGGAAAAAAAGAAGGATTTATTAATTTTAAGTGTGGTAACACTATGCATGACTTTTGTTCTGTTCATACTCAAACAACTCAACAACAAATTACTAAGCAACTGATCAAAAAATAAGGTGCATATATCTGTGTGTGTGTCTTATTTTTTTTTCCTACCCAAAACTTCACATTCTAAAAGCTTTAAGCTGTTCGTTTTAAAAAAATCTAGTCACATACTCACAATAATCCTCTCTTTTCCAATTATACATCATGGGTGGCCTGCACTACCTGAACTGATACTAACCTTGACCAAAATGAGTGACTGCAGACAACTAATACAAATCACACAACTGGAAAAAAAAGTCCTTGCTTCAGAATTTAAATACAGTTGTGCATCAGTAGTTACGTTTTACCATTTCTCATTATTTTAAGCAGTGAAATCCTTTTAACACCTTAATTAGAAAGCACGTATGCAGCTGCTTAGAAGCCCTTCTTTTCAACATTACCTTTACTGTTGGCATCTTCACCAGTTTCTTCTTCTTCTACTTCTTCAACATCTTCCATATCCTGTTGATCAAGTTCAGACTGTTCTTTGCTATTAGGAATATTCAATAACAGGATTAAGAAGTTAATTTTATAAAATACTATAATGAGCTTAAAGAGCTCAAGTTAGAGGTCACATGGGTAGAGGCAAACTGTTGCATCAGTTCTGATCTATGACAAACTAGAAGTTGAAATAGCCAAAGCCAAATTTGTCTTCATTGATTCAAGTTTCACATTTGACAATCTCAGAACAGTTCAAAGAACTAGCAGCTTTTAAGAATTCCAAAACAAGACAAAGCCTCCTTCTGCTCTACACATCCTCTTTAAGATGTGCAGGCCTTGAGAACCAAGGGTAGGTTCACCTAAGCTATACTTCAAATGCTCATATTTTGTGGCATTCAAAGTATAGAATAAAACTACATACAGTGAAACAATAGTAATGGACAGCACTATCTGTTTTTTCCCCTCCAGAATTCCAGCTAACATAGTAAGTTGACTGGTGCCTTGTCCCAGTTTTTGATTTGCTTACAACTAAGATCTCAAACCCATTTGGCATGAGCAACTTGAGCTTTTCTCCCACACTCTCTAAGCCTCACGTCTTGCCACAGTACCAAGATCACTACTTAGACCCTGTCTATCAAATATCTGGAGACCACAGACACCCAAAGTACAGCATAGTCAGAACCTTGGTAACCTACAGATTTTACTTACTTGTCTATGTCTGCCATTCTCCTAGATTTCAAACCCTAGAGGAAAAAAATAAAATAACTGTAAGAACAACAGCACTGGACTTCACTTACAAGGTGTACAGGCAAATGCCATAATATTGAAAAGGAAAGAAACACAAACCATGTCAGCTTAAAGAAATGGGGTAAATACATGTTACATTTTGAAGAGTGGCATCTCTCCCATGCACTTTTTGAGCTCTCACTCTAAAGCATACAGAAATACTGAAAAACTTTTTTCGTTTAGAATCAACAGATCTACTCACATAAATTTAAGTACCAGCAAAATGCCATGTTGTGTTTTCTATCATAGTCCTGTACCAACATTACAGATAAAAAACTAGTCCTGTCTAAGTATAAAATCAAAATATAACCTGAGGAAAACTGAAGCAAAAAGTGTGCTAGAACCCTTTTGGTAACTGTTTACTCATTTCCAGCATATAATTACAGACGATACATATAAGCTAAATCAGTGTCTTTTAATACTGAAGACACATTTTTGTGGATTACTTTTAATGCCAACTTCACAAAACCAATCCAAGTAGTTCCCTAGAACACCCAGAAAATTTCAAGATTAAAAAAAAGACACTAGGTGCCAAGCTATTTAACATGACTAATTTCTGTGTCCTGAATGATCAGAATTTTCTTAAGTATCTCAGTGTCATCAGAAACACATTTCAGACACAGTAACTAGAAACATCATATGTTGAGACTATTGCAAATCTTTCACACCATGAAGCACCTATATTCTCAAATGTATTACAAGATGAATAACATTTTCCACCAGCAAAACAGTACTTGGGAGTCTAGTCTCCAAAAAGATGTTTCAGGTAGCTTGAAGTCCAAGAACGTACTACACACAAGAAAATACTGTCCCATCACTGCCATCTTAGGTCCAATGGTTCAGGAGACACCAAGTAGCAAGAATAATTCACTGGTCCAGGAAGCATAAAAACTGCTGCTGTCCAATAAACTAAACACATTCAAGTTTCCTTCAGGAAGTTCAACTCCTTGTAATGCATTCTAATGAAAACTTTAGTCAAAATGTTGGAGGTATATGTTCCAGAAAAAATGAAAATTCCGTTTGGTAATGCGTGTAACATACGAGCCCAATCCCAGTAAGATCAGGACATTAACTGTCAATATGAAAAGACATGTTAGAATCTGAACTTCAGAATTTAACACCTACATTCTACATAGATATAATCAAAATATATTTTTCTGCTGTCATAACTACTTCCCAACAATTACATGGGAAGGAATTATCTGAGGTCATAATTTAGGACCACAACTTTACAGTGCTAATAAAGTATTAAGGAGACTACAGGTAATCAAAAAGGTTCAATTCCCTAGTATGCAGAAAAACTAGAGAACTGACTACTTGTCAATCTATTTCACAAAAATAGTACAGTCTTTGCTATCAAATAGAATGGCAGCACTACCATAGGACATCTAACAATTCAGTAAGAAACCAAGGCATTCCAGTAACATTTCTGATACATTTTAAGTTTCTTGAAATTTAGATCACGTTTGCGTGTCTGGTGACTTCAGGTTTACACATGGATGCAAGCTGCCTACATAACAATTCCAAGGAGTCTCCTTTGGATACCATTCTCAAGAGATAACATGGACTGAAGACCTACAGAAACTGAAAACATACCACAATTACAACTCCCATTTCAATGCCTCCGTATTTCTTGAGCAATATTATTAGCATTATTTCTGATTTGCAAAAGGTTTTATCCATGCAAAATATACAACTTTTTCCTTATAAATTTCCTCTTAACTTGCTTGTCATGCAAGACCTTTTTAAGGAGACTGGTAGTATCACTGTGCAAAAGAACACAAGATGCACAGTTCACCTGCATTTCACACATTTTTATGCAAATGTGGCAGACAGTGATCACATTCACAAACTATTATTGCTCCTTGCAGAGACCAACATTCCTCTCTCTATTCTCCCCAAATACAGCTTCACTTTCCATAAAACTAGAGGCAGTTCGTTCAACAAAGGTGTGACTGGAAACACAACCCTTGAGGTCTCACCACGCCAGTGGGCAAGGTGAAAGAGCAGCTGAAACACCTTAGATAAAGGTTTGCTGAAAGAGACCGACTTCTACACTTCATTTAAACATTTTTTTTCTAAAAGAGGACATGAGATTGGCTAGCACCAAGTCATGCCTAAAAAACTTTAAGACGTGTCCATCCCACCTCCAACAGTGGCCATTAGCAGATGCCTAGGAAAAAAAGCAATGACATGGGAAGGATTCTGCCAGACACTCCTCTAGCTTTCAGTCACATTCAGAAAAAACATGCTGGCTCAGGAAGTGTGGGTATTTGACAATGTCATAATAAACTTTTATTTCATATCATCTTCCCTGAAACCACGCAGGTAAGCTGATGTTATCACTCAAGTATCAAAGCACTAAAATCCTGTTTCTGAATTGCAACATTCATCTCAGAGATCATAACTAAGCCAGATTTTTCTACACTGGGCAACAGTGTGGCAGAGGAAGTTTCACCAGCAGTCTCTGTGTTCCTGAATTCCTCAGTGGGCCCTTGTTTAAACCATTCTGAGCAACTACCTGCAACCTTCATCCTTTCCCTGGTTCACCCCTCTTTCCAAGGTGACTTATGACCATGCTGAAGGCATTCATCTCATTGCAGAACCCTGTGGAAGTCCAGCATCCGCCCGTCTCTCCTCACTGCAAGGGCCAGCTACTCACCCTCTGCTTCCTGGTTTTTAAACAATCCGTGCAAGCACTGCATGTTTTCCAACTATGGCCCAGTTTACTCAAAAACTTTGAAAAGCATTCTTCAAAGATTTTTTGGAAATTAAAATAGACTGTATCAAGCAGCTGCCAGCATCAGAGCCTCCCTCCAGTGCGTTCTTATCTGCCTCGTCCCATTTTTCCTGTTCTCCTTACATCACTTTTTCGTGTCTCATCCTTTAATCTTCCCTCTGCTTTTTACACAACTTGGTATCAGAACATTTGCAGTTGGAAGAGTTCTTCTTCAGACTGAGGAGATACTACTGTTTGTCATGACACTGTCATCTGCCAGCTCTAGAAAACAGTTCTTGTGTGAGGAGGCTACAAGGCACTACGCCAACAGAACTACACTGACAGACATTTAGACTAATCTGTGCAACCCACTAGTATGGATATACAGTGGCATCACATTTGGTTTATTGTCATTTACTTAAACAACCATAAGCTTTTCTGCAAACACAGTTCTACTGGTAAAAAAAACCTGTAGAGGCAGACAAGCATTGAGAAAATGCCTTCCTTAAGAGCAAATGGCCTCCACTAGTTTTGCACAATGCCTAATACAAGGTCCCAGCCTAGCATGCAGAGCTTCAGCTACATGATGTACCACAATCAGAAATACTAAAATACATTACTGCAGCGTTTATTTTGCAGTATCTCCCCAAAACTAAATCTTTGGATACAGTACTCCTATCGCTCAGCTTTCCACACGAAAGACATATCTGTCCTTCCAGTTTGTTTCATAGGTGCATTTAGGATTGCAAACAGCAGCTCCACCATATCGCTCAGCTTTCCACACGAAAGACGTATCTGTCCTTCCAGGTGCATTTAGGATTGCAAACAGCAGCTCCACCTTGGCACATCAGCAGCAGGAAGCATTTGCTGGTATCACTCCCTGAAGTAGTCCCTGGGAGATACCAGTTCACAAGTTGTCAGTGCAGGATTATAACAAACCTGGCTACAGCTGGTATGTTACTTCAAGCCCCAGCACCTAGCTGATTGCTTTGGGCTGAGATACTACTTAGAATCCAGGCCTCTTGACTGCAAGAAAAGGCTTATGAGTACCAATAAAGGGTAGCCTCCTCCCCTGTTCAAAAGCCAGCAGGCAAATAACCTCCTTATTTGTAAAATACCTTATTTCCCTGTTACTTAAGCAGCAACAGCCAGTAGCACTGCATTACGGTCAAACACAAGAGGTGCCCAGAGGCTTCACTTACAATGTTTTGCTGCCTACTGTAAAAATACACAGAGGAAAACAAATGGTTATCTTATCTTTGCAGGGTTTTAAAGACAACACATAGGAAGCTCATGCTACAAAAAGGAAGCAAAAGCACAGAAAAGCAAGCTACAGGTTTTCTAAAGGCTAAAGTTTAAAACCTTTCATTCAGATAGCTTAAGCTCGATCACAAGCCTGCCTGCCATCACAAGAAACATGTTCTTTTTCAAGACTGAAAGGTTAGGAGACTTTTAATCCAGCACAAGTTTAGCCATAGTTTTGAGGGCATCCTGCAGAACTACTAAAAATTAGCAGAACTCCCTTAAAAACTTAAATCTTATCAAATCAGTATGAAAATTTGCTATTTTCATGATGTTTAAAGGACACTTCACCTCTTTAATCTGCCATGTTTCTTAAGAAACGTCATTCACTACATGCAGAAACTAATAATGATATTGCCACGTGTTCATCCTCAAGCTACCCATTAGCAAGCTTTCAGTTTTCAGGGGTTAATTGTTTCTTCACTAAGTGATTTTGCTCAAGTGAAGACAGAAACACAAACTGTAAGTATTCAGCCCTTCCCAGGCTTTCCTTTTTTCCCCCCTAGTCTGCTCTCATCCACACAGAAACCAGTCTTGAGTTTGCACAGCAGCACCATCCATGTTACAGCAAGGACACAAACACGCTGGTGAGAAGCCTTTCCTTTTTGAAGGTCAGCTTTAAGCGTCCCAACTAAGCACACCAGTATTAGATTACCCTGACATCCGCTTGGCATCAGGAAGACAGGTCACAGCGAGGTGAATTAGGAGTCAGCTGAGGAGGCAAAACATTCCTCAGACACAGTTCCTCCAGCAAAACAACAGCTTTTTTTTTTTTTGCCCAAGCCCTCAGGCTGGCAGGCCGCCAACAGGTCTCAGCTGTTCAGCATCTCTGTGGATACCAGACCACAGAGTGTACCCCTTCCATCCCATCCCTTTCAGGAAACATCCTTACCCCTTCTCTGGAGGAATTGCTCACACAATTAGAATGTAATAACA